ATAAATCGGCAGTTTACACTTTTGATGTTGATGCCGAGATCTGAATCGTCGACCTTCCGCTTGGAGTACACGGTTGGGGCCTACACCTGGAGCGAATGAAACAATTCACACTTGCTTAGTCTACACTGTGCAAAACAAACCATGGTACAACAATATCTATAAAAGAGATATCTGCGCAAGGGAATTCAACTAATGGCTATAGTAGTAATATAAAACGTTAGATTCTGATTAGGTCACTCCAATTGGGGAGCATTAGGGATTGCGTATGAGAAAAATGACGAGACGCTAGACAGTGTCAGTGGAGTGGAATAGGCCGATTAAAGCATGACAATGCGAAATAACTTATGTCTCTATCAACAATCAGAAAATGTACATCAATGCTGATTACCGTTACTGAAAATATCCTCTCGAGTCCGAGTAGTCGACAGGACTGACTGAGAAAATGCAACAATCGAAATGAAAACAATGCGCGATTGCGAACATAATCGTGTGAAAGAACTTACTATGGTGATTCGTTATGGGGACATTTTCTTTTAACCAATAGCAAATAACGCAATGTCTTTCCGACAAGGTATGAAGTAGAATAATAAAACTGTGAGAACTAGGTCATTGAATCGAGGCTGAAATTGTACCATTAAAGAAAGAGAAATAAAGTTCTATCATCACTAGTGTAATGGACAGACTTGAGTTTGTTTGCTCTTGAAGTGGGAAACTGGAGAATAACGTTTCCCATCTAATGGTGAAACATGTAATACTATAGGAGGCCAATAGTAAATAAATTTCACTCATAACATTGAAAATACAGGGTGAAGCGCAAACGTAAACGTAAGAAAATGCCATACGTTAGTAAGAATCACCACATGAGTGGTGATAACGTCACCAAATTATCAGCCCGGAGGATATGTTCGAATCCCACCCCCAACACCTGATTTTTCCCATTGTATGCTGAATGACAGGCAGTTGATTAGCCTTTATAAAGATTATATCATTACTTATTCCATAGAAGGAAGTACAAGTGGAAAAGAAAGTTTAGAAAATCCTCATTAATATACAATATGATCCAGAAATGCAACTCTGACTCAGTCAGATTCAATAGCCATCAAGTTTTCGGATAGGATGGAATAATTGAGAGTCCACACATCGACGGAGGAACAGGAAAACTGTGCCTGTTAGGAACAAGGGAAATGTGGAATAAACGAGAGAAATCGATCGCGCCACATTACACGAATCTTCCCACATGAACTACTTGGGAGGAGTGAATAGTAGGAATGCTGCAACACCGAAGGCTAACCGCACGTCATGAAATTAGACGGGACTCGTTTATGAAGCACCTGCAAACGCAGACGGTTTCAGAGAAACTCATTGGCCGGATAGAAGTAATAAGATTTGTACTCAAGTAAAATAATTCTCTGATTCCTCTTATGGGTAATCGAACTCCATTTTGAAGACCCACGATCCATGCACAACGAATGCTAGATTAGGGTCACAATAGAAGCTAGCGCATGACAGTCCCGAAAAAGACCGAATAGAAAATCAATCAATGAATTCACACATACACAATTGATAAATAACAGCAACACTAAAATTGACTTATGGGTGGAAGATAATCATTGGCTTCTGTATATAGACGGGGCAATTTTGGTGCGTTTCGTTTAAGGGCGCTCTTGAGTGAATACAACTTGTAATACCATTCAGATCATCAATGCAATCAAGTTCGTTGATTACTTAATAAAGACGTCACCATAACGCAGGCCGCATGGGTCCATAAGTCTGTCCCAGAAGCTTTGGACACAACGTGAGCTCCAGATTATACTGGTGACCGTCAAGAGATGGGCTACGCACTATGCAGCGCACCGGACGACATTGCAGACAGCCCACTGGGATCTCACTCATAAGGATGACATGAAAGGAGAGGATTAAAAGTTCACCAATGATAACTTGAGCTCAGAGCTCCAAAAGTTACTCCAAAGTTACTACTGTTATTACAGTGAGACTTTAAAACACTGCTCCGACAGAAACTGTTAGGAAAGCATATTGCTGACGTCACTCCTGTGCTAGCCTTATATTTTTTTTTATAAAACTCAAACCATTTAAGATGGTGACAGGTTGTTGGTTGGTTTTGTACCTCAGGTTTATAAGCGGAGTGTTCAGTTATCTATCAAGTTATGCAACTAAACAGCAGTTCAAATGGTAAGTTCGATGGGCAACTGAACACCGTAATTTAGAGGCCGTTTGATGCTGATAATATTATTTTAAACTTTTTTCTGATATCCGGCAGACAACAGCGAAGAGAGAACCAAAGGCATAATCATCAAATGAAAGTAGAATTTAACAGTTGGTGATCTGATTACTTTACCAGTCCCTAAATTAAGCATGACGACACGAAGAACAGAAAAATCAGAATGCAATATATCAACGTAATACATTCTATATTATCATTCGCCGTGCGATAGCAGCAATGGCATCAGCAATAATGGTATTTATAGCAATCGTAATAATGTGATAGTAATAATAATAGCAATAATGGTAATGATAGCTTCAGTAGCCGTGGTCAAGGTGATAGCAATAAGTGTGGTAGCCAGTTTTCAAGTTGCCCACGAGCCTGTGATTGAGATGGGGACCAGTAGGATGGAAGAAACAGGTAAGGAATTTTGTGTGCAAGTCGATGCGATGTGGTTCTGTACAAATGCATAAAGATATCAGTGCACACAAAGTGACCATGAGGGCAGATAGAGACGGATTCAAAGCGAGTGACTCAAAGGTGGAAAAGGAGAAACCAATACGAAAATATGAACACAGGAGTGGAAACAATTCAATAGAAACAATATCATCATCTTGACATCGAAATACACTCGAGCATACACCTGTTCAAAACAACGGACTTTCAAGAAAGCACCTTTCAATAGAGCGATCTTGGGGGAGGAAGTGGCACGGACAAGAGCGAAGGATGAGATGATGAAAACTGGCACGCTTTCATTTGGAAACAAAACCGCAAAAGTTATGAAAACATCAGTCAGGTTTGAATGTGTTATGTGCATTGGAATAAGGAACAATACCACGGCAGTTTTATTTACAAGGGTGATTAGTGGTAGGGATGGATGGTGAAACATGGAAAAGACATATACACATGCACAATGGATTAAACACGCGTAGGATGGAAATCCTGAAACACTAACGCCGTCGGCCACCGTGATCTGAAGGGATTAGCTGCCTCTGAGTTGGGCGGAATTCGAAGGGGTCACAGATAGTTGGGTCAGAGGATGCAGAAAGTGGTGCATATGTACAATGAA